CGCGAACCGGGCCGGAGTCAGGGGTGGCCACGCTGCAAAGGCTAGAAGTAAGACGGTTTTGTGTGTGTCAGGAACTGGAATGCACTACCATATACTACAATGAGCGTAGGGCGCCACCTCATGAGGCGCAAGAACATCCTAGCAGCTTTCCACAGTACATATGGACACCCCTAAGTAAAACCCTATAAATACATTTTATGGATAGACCCTGTATGATATGGATCGATGTCACATATACCGTCTGAAAAGGTGCTTGCAAACACTCTTATTATGTAGGTTTGGAGAGAACTTGCAATGCTTCAGCGTGTCCAGTACCATCATTGCAAGCTTACTTGCTTCACTGAGTGCTTCACCCCGGCTCCGATCCGTCGTCCCATGTCTTCCCCAACTCTGCCACAAACCACATTACTTTTGGCCGGCCCGTGTCAGTCTGCGGCATCCGCCCTTCACCCTCCTTCCCGGCTCGACCCACCTGCGAAGGGGTCGGCGGCTGTTCAAGAAGCGCACCCCACCCGGGCAAGTGCGCGTTTTCCTACTTACCGGCGGGCTACGGAGCCAAGCAGCGCGGAGCAACCGGGTGTCGGCGGCGAATTCATCAAAGGGGGGGCAAAAGGAAGTTTTGGGGTGGCCCCATCGCTGGGTGGCACACTTCAATTTGGCCCAACCCCAACTGGGAAAAGGAGTTTGAGTTTCCTCTACAGGCCTATACAGGGGGTTCCGCTTCCGTTTGAGTGACTGCTACCAAGAGTAGAACAGTGGATCGCTCAAGTCTGCACTAATGCGTGGCCTTCCAAGCATGCCCCTATACCACAACGTTCTTCCAGAAAACGGTGTTCACTGACCATGTTTGATAGTGATAGACGCTACCCTCCAAAACGTAAAAGATTTTAACAACGCCTCCACGAGGGAACAATTAAAAACCAAATCAAGCGATGAATTCCACCAAAGCAACAACTCCTTGACTGACTCCTCTTCCATCCACCCCCTGCGCAGGCGTCTGGGAAGGGCGTGGCACCGGTGCTCGTGGACCCAGCCCTTGCGCACGGCCAGTGTTCGACCAGAGAGCACCAACCTTAAAGATCGTGCGGGGTGGGCAAGCGCGACGCGGCGGGTGTGGGCAAGAAGCGGAGGGGGATCTGTTCTTGAAGGTGACATGCACATGCACATGGTATTAGTTGATAAACAGCTGCGCCCAAACTAGATCTTTGCTTGGGAGCTGGTTACCACCCTTAAACACAAAATATATCTCGAAACGACTTCACACCGTCCCCCGGAGCTATTCTTCAAAAAAAGACTTCCTCTTTCCGACCTCCCGACCGCTCCCGACCGCAGCTCCACCCTCCCATCGCAGAGTGCTCCGAACTCCTCGGGCACCTTCAAGCTGCACTTCTGCTTCCAAACCTCCCCACGTCGCATGGGCGCATGCGTCCGTGCAAGGCGGGCATGGAGAGGTTCGAAGTTCCGGTTTGTGGGGCACCACATGACACCCATCGAGGGGGGGAAACTAACATGCAGCATTCACGCTATATAGAGGAAAATCATGCGGCACTCAGTTTCCAAAGAATGGAGAAGGACTTCAATGGATCTTCTTTTTGATAAATCACATGTCAACCAAATGACGAGCTACCAAAGAGAGACCACATGTTGTGCTTTACAGTACTTTTGACTGCTACTTTTGACTGCTCTTTACTCAGTACTCACTCATACTCTCACTCATTACTGCCCAAGTTCATCTCCGAAAGGCGTTGAGCACACAAAAAGGTCAACACGTGATCCCATGCAACCCACCGCAGCTCAGCTGGGGCTTGCTACCGGCTTGGTGGTGCTGGTCTTCCAGGTAGTGCGTACGGCTTCGCAGGACCTCGGGAGTGTCAAGCAGGTCCAGGTGGGAAGAAAAACACTTCGCCACCACCAACCTGCTTGTAGTGAAGAATGGCATGTTCTATATCAACTACAGTAACTCTACTACCAAATGTCCAAAGGAATTTGCGGCCTTGTTCTTGTTTCTTGATTGGTTGAATAGAACAAAAAACCATGCAGTGCATGGGTTTTTTTGAGGTCCCAAGCAGGTCCTTTGCACAAAAGCTGCCTGGGATGAGACTCCTCCACACCCGCTCAGGAAAGCACATCCCCAAGCTGATCCCAAACCCAATTGGGCCGGAGAAAACAAGAATAGGTGTCACCTGGCTAAGTCACCTGGCTAAGCATCTCAAGTGAATCCTATATCGTGCCATATCCCCAAAAAAAGCAATCGGCACACTCTCATTCCACACGTCAAGGAGCACCATGGGGTCGCCCTCAACCATTTGCATTCGCACTTGAAGATTGTTCTTGATGTCACCTGCGGTTTCAAAAGGGTGTAGATCACATGGATCCATACCCGAATGAAGCGACTTGAATGTGGGTTGGCAAAGAAAAATGCACACGCAGCTTGGAAGTCCAATATGCTTGTTCCCGTCGACATCAAAGCTGCTTGGCGAATCCTTCCCTGGGTGAGACAAGAAGTGCAACTTGTGAAATCAACAGAACAGCTCCGCCCAGGGGAATGTACTTCCCATGGCTTTCCATGGTACCATGCTCACACGAAGCAAGCTCTTGAATGGCTCCTCTGCTTGAACTGACCATCTCCATCATGCGAACAAACAAACACAGGCCACCTGTATCCACCTGTACTGAGTTGGCGAGAGCATTGATGGAAAATCACTCAAAGAGGTCTGGATAAACTAAAGCATTTTAGGGGATCCAAAATCCAAATAATTTGAACACTTAATTAGTGAAGTCATGTGGAGTCCAGATTTCAAACCAAGATCATCAACTTGACCCACATGAGTCCTTCAACATCGTTCTTCACCTTGTTCATACACCGTTTGCATTCCCAACGGTCGGCTTTTTCCACTGACCTGGCCTTCATACTTCACCTGGGCACAGCCTGAAGCCGGATGGTGCTTGAAATCTCGTGATGGCGTTGCTTTTCGAAGCACTTTCTGAAAGACCTGAGCCTTTTAAGGCGATACACTCCCTGAAATAAAAATGAAAATCATACCGGTTGTACCAAATCTGATCGCTTATGCCGCTTGTGCATGTACTTGAACATGCTGCAAGGCATAAATTGGCGTAGTCACTTGGCCTCATTTGGCTCTCTGATCATTGCTGTAGCAAATAGGCAACAATCGCATCCGCGATCAAAGTAAAGCCCAGAACAAAGCAACCCTGCGCAGGTTCAAAAAAGCCCTTACAAAAGCTGGAAACAAAAAAAACATGTCAATCCAAACGAATCTAGGCCACTCATCATGGGGGAGTTGTGCCCTTTCCCATAATCCAACGCCAGTGGGATGGACTCTGGAGCAGCAATTTGTCGTCAGGGCTGCATCTCCCAAAGAAAGACATGTGTAGGACCTAATAGGACCTTCACATGCATAGCAAACCAACTACAAGCTGCTTCCAAGGGGTACCCAATGGACTGCCCTACACTGGTCTCCATTGGCACGCCCCTTGAAGCGCTAGGTGGCTAAGTGTATGTCCTATTTTGATCGGTTCTTGAAGTCATATAAGTTCTATTGGCTCAAAATTGCCCCGATTGCCCACTTCCACACCTTCCACAAAACACCTCAGCTGCTTTCGTGAGGGCCTTAGTTGGCACAAGTCTTTCGCACGCCGCCGCCAAAGTCTTTGACACAAAAAGGCACCGCCACAAGACCCAGCTATTGGATTGAAACTACCCGCTTAGTTGGAAAACACAATAAGACACAACAGCAAGCCAATTTGATTGAAAGTGCCAGCTTCCTGGCTTTAGTTTTTGAAGCTGCGTTCTCAATGAATCGCTGATCGAAAGCTCCGGCTTTGGCATAGCTCGGCTCGCGCTCTCTTTTCTCCCTGCCAACCTTCGTTCGGAAGGCCGTCTGCGACACCTGAGGGGCCCAAGCGGAAGGGTGAAAAGAGGTGAGCATGCCAGCAGTTCCATGGAGTGGAATGCCGAACTGGGAGGGGCTGGGATGGGATGGGGTGCACACAGAAGAACAACTGACGACTGCGGTGTCAAAACATCCACATTGATCCACTGACTTGGGGCCTTAGGGGCAAAGAACTCAAAGCCACTCTGGTACTGGAACTGATGATGTGCGTTTTTTTTCCTCTCCATCTGGTCCTCCCTGGACAGCCGCGCTGGACAGCCGCGTCGCCGGTCAGAATTGCAAGAATCATCTCCAACAGCCAACAGCTTAGCTGCAGTGACCTCTCATTATGTTAATGGTACCTATTGGTGCTTTCTGAATGAAAACACCAAGCCACCTCAAAGATTAAAAACACACACAAACACTGAAACAACATGTTTTTTTGTCAATGACGAAAAACGTGTGGCGCACCCCGCCCATTTCGGCCTCGTCCCCCTTCAGGACTTGTAGCCGCCCTCTTTGCCCTCTTTGGCCTTTCAAAGGGGAACTGCGTGGCGTTGGTCTGGGTAGGTGGGCAAGCTCAAATGGAGCACGTATACTTTCGCCGTTCCTCCAAACACGTTCTCCTTTTCGATTTGCTGTTCTTAAGCACATCCCGGAGACATGGGACCTTGCCCCTTTAAACTCAAAGGCCGAAGGGCTTTATGCAACTCCAAGTGATCACTAAGATTGAAAAAAAAGCCATTGCATGGATTTCCGGCCACTTGTGATTTTGGACATGCCATACATACCCGATGACTTTGAGTATATAAAGGATCTGCGCATCACCTATCCAGGCGAACGTTTCCTGCCACGAATCCCCTTGAAGGCCCGATGTGAAGCCTATATCACTCCTCCGTATGGTCAAACACCCAACGCAAACACCCCACCAGGGCGAGGAAACAGCGGACAACAAACACATACCGGTCCTGGCAGGGGTGGTTTATGGACACCCCTGACTATGTATTTTCCATCCAACCACCACCCCTTCCGTGGTCCTGGTATTTACTCAACCTCTCTCTGGCACCAGAACCATGACCTCAAGTAATCAAAACCACGACCTCCAATCATCTACCAACCCGCCAGCGCCTTGGTGGCCTGTCGCAACTTCACCCCATAGTTGTGGGTGCGCGCAATGTTCACTTCAGTCGTGGTGATCCTCCGTCAGTGAAAACCCAAAGAGTCTGGGCCTCAAGGCTGTTCATCACGTGCTTCATATAACTTCCCAAAAGTTTACAGGAAGTCCTTAATACTGAGCATGTGTTTATAAGAAGGTCAACAAGCCGGGAAAAAAACAAAGAAACCAATTAAACATCAAACCGCGGGAGGTTCTTGCCCTGAGAGCAAGAAGGATCCTTTTAGATCAACAGAAACGACCCAAGCAGGTCATCCGTCCAGCGACCCCAGGATCCAGGGATTCCAAGGGGAGGAGTTGGGCGGTTCATGGACGACAACCCCCCAACAAACGGTTGAGCGTGGCGAGCGATGAGCGCAGTCCCGGGTGAGCCTGGTTGATGGTCCAACCGCACCAGGTCGATGGGAAGAAGGGTTCGTCTCGTCTCCGCTTGTTTCTCGAAATAGTCCCGGTGAGGTGATCTATAGATGCCTTCTCAGGTTAGGTGACGCTAGAATCCCATATATACTCGAGGACCGCGATCTTCAATCAGTTCACTATCATGTTCCATGCCTTATTGTTGAGGATCTCTTTGGAGAATGGTCGATTTGTCTGCGCTCCTTACAGCCTTGATGAGAAAAAAAAACAAGACAACGTAGGCACAAGAACAGCAGCTCGACCCTTTGACTGCTTGTTCCACCACTACTTCCTCCGCAGCTCGCCCCTTTGACTGCTTGTTTCACCACTTCGGAGATAGTCCTCTCGTCCCCAAGTCGTCGCATCCGGAGCCACCCTTACAGGACTCTCAAGCTGCACGGCAAGTGGCTGATCTCTCAAAAAGGCCATGTCCTCTTCCAAGCTTTTCCTGAAATGGGCGTCGGCAAAATATTGCAAAAGCAAGTACTTGACTTGCTAAGGATCTAGAGTACCATCGTTGGATCACCATCCAATTCACACATCCACACATACAAAAGGGGGAACGCATCTCTGCATGACTAATGGCTTTCAGCTCTGATGGTTTCAGAGGGTCAATCTAGGCATATATTCCAGTCCCATGGAGTATTTGGGATAGTTTTGCTTCCAAAATCGCAGCAGAGGGCGTTGAGGTCAGTGAGGTAGGTGGGGTTTGGAAGTCCCAACTGCCGAGGTGCAGCAAAACACGCCCGAAGCGGTTTCCGCTGTCCGAAGATAGCCCTCCACGGTGTTTAGTTCACTTGGAAGATCCCTCAACTGCCAAGCATCAAGGTGGTTCGTGCATTGCTTTCGTTGGTTTGGAGGAGTTCAATGGCCTCCTCCAGCTGGTACTCCAACATGCAATTCGCGCCTGCGCTGCGCGACCCCCAACTGCAAGCCATTGGCGTGAAGCTGCAAGACCAAGGGCTGTTTCTTCATGACCGATGACCCCAAGCACGTTAATTCCCTATGGATCCACTGCCATCTTCTCAGGTACGGTAATTGGGCCCCCCCCTGGCACCTACATCAATAGTCTCCGTCCTCACCGTACCTGAAGAAGGAGGCAGTGGATCCATAGGGAATTCATACTTGACGATAACTCTTCAAAGGCTTGACAAAGAATGGCCAATTCATGGGTCGAAAGTTCACGGCTCGTGCGGCTGCCCGGGCCCCCCTGGCCTAGCCACAAACACACCTTGTCACTGGGAGCAGCTGATGCTTTCGACCAGATGTTCTCCGCCAGCCTTGCGGAGGCTGCCAGCTAGGTGAGTGAGATGGGTCTCATCTGGTGGGTTCGTCATGTTGGTGAATCCAGCTTGCAGGACCATCAGGGGGGTACCTAGACTCCCTCCAGTACCTTGGAACCCTGGAACCCTGGGACATGACCCAGGAATACACAGGTGCTTGTACCCCCCCCTTTTTCGGGGTACCAACGGGTCGACTCGGCTGATACGTGCTGACTCGCTCGGCTGATAAGTGCTGGTGGTTGCTAAAGAAACCTGGACAGATCTGAACAGGGATTGACGTGAAACGAAAGCTAACGTGGGTAAGTCGGACAATGGTGGCCTTTGGTCCACCATGTGTCTGCCAAGGCGCTGGTAAGTGTACTCACTGGCCTCTGCCTCCTCGCTTCTCTCCATCTGAGGGTCGTGCAGGGGAAGGGATTCCACATCTGAGGGTCGTGCAGGGGAAGGGATTCCAAGGTCTCGAGCAAAAAAAGGGGGGAAACACCCAGGAGTTTATCAAGCACGTTCGTCCACCCCGTCCGCCCCACAATGCAATTCGCGCTTTTTCCATTCAACATCTGCTTTATAGTAGTTTCAGAGTAGATGGCACAGACCCCAAGAGGTGGTTTATATGGGTTTGTTTAAACCGTAGAATCAGCTCTGCCATACCTGACCCACCAATCAGCAGCTCTGTTGAAAGCACACAGCCGGCTGCACTGCCTCTATATATATATATATATATCAACTAGAGCTCTATATTATATGCAACTCCTGCATCACCATAGCCTAGTGACCTAGTGCATAGCAAACATCAACGAAAAACGTGCGCGCGCCCTACCCATCATGGCCGCCCGGTCATGGATGGAAAACAACCTCTACATATGGGGGATTGAAATATCATCAAACTTCTACATTAATGTCCACCTATATGATTCATAGACGGGTAAGCCTTCCATCATGGATGTCACAGATTGTAGTTGTATAATTAACCCTCCAGCACACAGAGTCGCTGAATCTTGGCGTTTTCTCTTCGTGGCCGAGAGGCCAGGTGTTTCACCACTTCTAATGCTGAGACGATGTCAGGCAGCTTGGTCTTCAGCGAGGAGCGCTGAGCGGTCAAGGAGCTCTGCATGTATTGGTACTTGCCTCACGCGCAAATGCGCGAGGGCCACGGCCTTCGGAAAACGAAGGAAGGGGTGCCCCATATAGGCTTCCAACCACCATGATTGACGGCCTTCACCCAACAACCCTTGTTGTACTAAGGACTTTACAGGGTCGCCAGTGGACTTTACAGGGTCGCCAATGGAGCATCATACACCACGTATAACAGGATCATCGGTCAACAACTGACTGGTGCTTAGTAGGGAATAAGGGAATGAGCCCCCAATAGAGATTGTATTGGATCCAGCCACCCTCATTCCCTGCGAGTCGCACCAGTCAGACAAGCACATATCACCGTTCAATCCTTTGGTCTGCCCAACCATGGAACCCTTCAGACCTGCCCCACTAGGCCCTACCTCCCCCGAACAAAAATAACACACACACAAGCACACAAGACTGATAGTGGTCCCCAAATAGATAGTGGCAGGGTTTCTACATGTTAAGTGGTGATCTATGTTTCTATCTGTATTTGGGGCCTCCATATGCACCTGAAAAAAACTCACACCATACTACACCATCCACGGATCCACCCTTCTGAAGGTGGGCCACAAATCTGACGTTCTTTCTTGCCTTCTCAGCCGACCCTCCACCAATCAGTTTGACCAATGGAGGGTCGAATGGCTTCTTTGCCCAAAGCGACTCAAGGTCGCAAACCATGAAACATCCACTTGAACATCAATGAAACACCCTGAAGAGAAGCCTGGAGCAAACAAATCTGAGTTTTAGTCTGCACTACAGTATCTTGTTTTTTGCCTTCACTAAAGGCCCAAGTGGGAACACTAAGCATAATGCAGCTACTTGCTTTCAAGCACTAAACGCTGAGTGTGGGAGGACCTCAGAACACTCCTGCTGCTTCTCCTTTGTGTCCGTTTTGTTCGCGGTCACGCGGATGTCACGCTTCGCTCTCGCCATCGCTCTCGCCATCGCCATCGCGAAGAGCGCATGGAGTCTCGACCAGATTCAGCCAACGCAAGTGACCAACGCCAGTCACGCCATATAAAGTCAGCTGAACTTTCAGTAGATTCGACTCGCACATCTCTCCAAGAAATATCTTGGGCTCCAGGTCTCTCACGGTATCTGAGAGGGTGGAAGCGAGAGGACGAGAGGCGAAAAGCCGAAAAGCTCATGTGATTTGAGGCGGGTGACCGGGTGGGTGAAGCTTCACAAAGCTCTACCAGCACTTGACTTGCCAAAGAAAAAATGCTCATCACTTGGAGGGATGCCTTGACATGTGGCACAGGGCCCTAGTGTCTCGGACCTGTTTAGCATGTTGGCTGGTTTCCCCAACCTGTTCGGCTACAAGTTAGCGTCACAAGGAAACCAACATCATTCAAAGTCCATGGCTCCATCCAAGAAATTCATGATTCAGCCATGTTTTGCGTGAAGCATCATCAAGCCTCACCGTTTGGATATGCATTAGGACCCCATAATTCAGAACCTTCCAAACATGGCACCGGTCTTAGGTCAAGCGACGCTCTGGTCCATCTTCGGTCCTCCCAAGGACTGACATCTGGAAGCCATCTCCTCCAAGACACAAAGAGGCACTGAAAGGTGGGAAGCTCCAGGGCCCTTGGAGGCCCTCGGAGGTCAGGGGTGGTGGCGATGGACCTTCCTTCACGGCCCCCTCTCTGTGAGGGGCTATGATTAAACACTTCTTAAAGACGGCATTGGCTGAAGTCTTGGTGTCTCCCGGTCCAGCAGTTTGCAGTTTGACATGTTTGCACATCTTGGGGTTCAACAGGGGGCACTGGGGGGGCCAATGCAAGTAAAGTACAAGAGTGGTGAACATTCCATATATTCAGTCCTTTAAAACTTCCGTGCTGATCATGTCAAACCCTCCAACTCTGCGTGATATTCACATGGATGGCCACGTTCTTACCTGAAAAAAAGGCTCTGCAATTGTTTCTGGAGGTTTTCTCATCCTTCTGTCAGTGGGATTGATATGGATTGATCATCCCTGGTCAAAGGTTTAGAAAGATCAATTGGCTAAACATGTCATATAAAAAGTCTAGACTTGGAGAGAGGACACGGCTTACATTGTTTTCTAGTCCTTGTCCCTCTGAGTCCTTCGGTGAGTTCCACCGAGCCCTTCCAGGAATAGCACCTCCAGGGGGAGCCATACTCCACCTGCTCACACACCTTGAAGGCTGGCTCGCTGCGCTGGCTCCAATACCCGCCATTCTATTTAAGAAGGGCACATGCCTTGTAAGGGTTTTGAGAGATGCATGACAGGACCATCTAACAAACCCCAAAGGCCCACCCCACCCCGCTTTGTTTCTTGGGCGGCATGATTGACGCGTTAACGATGGGCCTTTGGAGCTGCTGCAGATCGCCGTGGCCCGATGGTCTGGTCCCACATACTCCCAGTGGCCCGAGCAGCTTGGGCACCCAAAACAGGTAGGATCTGGAAAACATCCATCCTCTCCCCGAGACATAAATGGCAAAACCTTGTAAAACCTCCTTGAAAATGATTCAGAATACTATACTACCGAAAAAATGACCCTCCCTGAAAACCATCATGGAGGGGAACCACCGGTTCACGGCATGGTCCCTCGATTTCGACCGTGATCTCCGACCCACTTTTCCTTCACCAACACGGGGGGGATCGTCCAATTGGCCTGTTTGTTGGAGGGTGGCCTCCTTCCACCCACCTTCCGTTGACTCTCGCAGACGGGCGAAACGGCACATCGGCGGCACCTCGATCTGGAAGGTTTCCTCGCGGAAACGGGCGGAGACCATCGTGCGGATCTCCATGCATCCCTCATACTCCTCGAGATCCTCCGGACGATGAGGGCGAGACACGACGAACGCCACTCGGAGGATGCCGTTTTTTTTTGTTCCCCGGTCTTTGGGGGGATGTAGACCATGGGGAAGTCCAAAACACCCTAGATAAGCAAAACCAGGCTTGGAAGAGTTCCGTTTTTGGTAGAACACTGGACTTGCGCTGGTGTCGACGTTTCTTCTGCAGTCTGTGTGTCCCAAAACGTCTACTCAAGTGTCCAAACTGTAGCAGCCAAAGGGCATTGCCCTATATGACCAACTGGGTGCTTGCAATGCCCTGGCTTCATCCAATCCAAAAGCAAAAAAAGAACAAAAGAAAGAACGCCGCTTTTTTCGGCCAGGGAGTTCTGGCTCCTCCTCATAATAGCCACAAGGGCCTCGCGACAGAACCAAGGTGAGCTCATCTCCATCCACGATGCCGTGATCATGCAGAATCCAATCCTTACACCGATCGTGGCCCAGGTTCCAGGAGTGAACTCACTGAGTGGATCTGCATTCCCACCCTATGGGTCCGGGTACCTCCTTACTTATCTTACTTTACTTCGGATAGGATCTTTGGGGGCCAAAGGACATCCTCAGGAGGTACCTGGACCGTAAGGGCCTACCATATATATGAACCAGAATCTACATACCACGAGTCACAAAGGGGCACCCATATCCTCCAAGTTCGGCACCCCTTTGGAACTACTGGGATGGAATTGTTTGTATTGTATTTAACTTGCTTGGGCAACCTTGAATCCGGACTCTAAATGAACCTTGCGTTTGCACAGAGCTGCAAAGCCCAAAACATGTACTAATCTCCCTGCTGGGGGCTCTTAGCCATCAAACCCAAACAGCCCAAGTGAAGGTTTCACCCGACTGTGAAGACAGTCCACCGGTTTCACTGGTGAAGAAGCACAAGTGCCAAGAACCTATTGCAAACCCCTGACACCTCTTCACTGTGGGGGCCCAAGCTATTTCACAGTACCAGCAGTCACAAAGGGGTGCCTATTGGAGGATAGGGGTGCCCATTATCCACTCACTTAGGTACTAAAAACCACCCCTTTGTGACTCCTGGTGTATATAGTTAGTTATATGTCTGAGAGGCCTGCCCCAAAATATCTACAGTTAGTATGCAGTATATACTTCCAGCTGTCTAAGATATATTCTTTGGAAGCAACACGCTCAAGATCAGATGTTTATTGATTCCTGGTCCCAGCTCCATCAAACTAAGCAGTGAATAGCAAAAAAGAAACCCCAGGGCTCCAGTCGTACCTTCCTTTCGCAGCTGGGACGGGGGCCCGGGTGCGTGCCAATGGACTACCCTGCGCTACTTGCTATTTATGTGCCTCCAGAGGAGAAGAGAACAAACACAAATTATAAAGTGTATCAAATCAAACTAAGCAGTGCATTTAAAAAACAGTGCAAAAAGGTTGATTGACCACTGACGGAGTCATCTGGCAAGACATCAGCGCCATGGATCAGTCGCATCAACGAACAGGGCCGCGCCAGTGCCTCTCATCTTGCCAAACAGCAGCCATATGAACTGTTTTCGTGTTTTTGTGATATATACTCGTGAATATCAATCTCATTCCTGGAGCTAACATGGAAGTGGAACATGGTCTCTGGAAATTGCATGTTCCTCCGAACATGTACCCTGGCTGGAACTAACATCGGAAGTAGAACATGGACTCTGGCGCTTAGTTTGGTTCCTCTACAAATACATATGGGGTTGAACTCCACTTCCACGTGGTTCGTTTCCAAAGGAACATCAAAAATGGTGGCCTCACTGGCTGAGAAACCATTCGAGAAAGGAAGCACCTGCGTTGCAAAAAGTGCACCACAAGTCCATTGAAAAGGCATTGAGCTCAACTACAAGGGAACCATCCAGGTTGAAAAAGGGTCATGGTCCAGGAACAAAGAGTTGATGAGTCTGAAAATAAGAATTCCAGCCCCATCCCAACTGGTTCTCTTCTTATCTCTTCTTGTTGGACCATTGAGACCTCGGTTGCGCCTCTGGAGCTGTCTCCAGCTCTCGAATCTTCTGCTTCAATACCAGGGCCGTGTCCGTCTCCGAGAAGCTCAGCGAGAGCATTTCACCCCCGGCCATGAGGATTCGAAGCATCCCACCAGTTACTCAGTTGCCGGTGGCAGGCAGGTTCTTCCCACGCCGGACTAACCTCCAAATGACCTGCAGGGCACTAGGAGCACGGCCCAAAGGTGGCCCCAGGGGGCTTCGCGGTGTTCGCGGAGTTCGAAGCTCGCGGGTTCGAGTGGCTCTTGGACCAAGTGGCTGCGGCCGTGAGACGTGACACCTCGACCGAGAACCGCAGATCAAACCCTGCAGCCAATCGAGCCCCTGCAGCGGCTCGCAGCGAATCGCGTTGTACGAATCGTGACGAAGACTGCGGAACACCGTGGCTGTGGGACCACCGTGGCACGACAACCAACCCATAGGGTCCAGGTACCTCCTTTTCGGATGGTCTTGGAGGTGAGTTCGTACTTCCTGAGAATGGTCTCAAATCATTCTTTGATCATGGACTATAAGACAAAGCCCCTTAAAATTTTGGACCAGGCCAAGTAGAAACTCCTGCACATTAAAAGAACAGAGTGGAAGAATCCACAGGTCGTTTTGGCTGGGGAACTCCCTACAGGAGTTGGAATCTCTCGACCGGATTCAGCCTTCCCCTTTGACCACACCCAGACACACCATGGGACTGCCATAGGACTGCCGATCAGTTGGGGTGGTTTGAGGGGTCAATGGGGCGGCATATATGGCAGTCCCATGGAGTGTTTGGGACATACAGTATAAGCTTCTTCACACCAGTCACCCGAGTCACCGGTCCCACCCAGATGCTGCTGAAGAAGTCGCACAGCAGCCGCTGTCGGAGTGTCTTGCTGCGCCAAGGTACTGTGTAAATCCTGGAGCCGTCCAACCACTTCGGTAGGCTCACGATCTTTACCTCAGTGTCGATTTCCCCAAGGCATGTCTGACTGGACATCAACCACCAAAAATGCCTTGGACCCTTGAACTTCAATCCCATATACTTGTCCATGGCACCAGTCCGACTGGACATCAAGCACCCAAATGACGACGGCCCTTGAACTTCAATCCCATATCGGGATTGATCGTGTCAGCCCTACTGTAGGCCAATCTTCTATACATGAATTTTCCGGCCCCTTTCTTGTGTGGACTTTTGCTGGAGAAATGAATGCATGAGTAGCACCCTTACGTAGAAGTCCAGGACAATTGCATGTAAACCAAGAACATCCTCGGAACCAGCACACATCTGCATGAAAGCTGCACATCTCCTCCACATTCTCGATGAAGATCGCCTGGCTCTTGAGTTTGGGACTGAGCTTTGGACGAAAGGCTCATCCTACTTCAAGTCTGCAAGTCTTCAAGGGATGTTGGTGCGAGGATCGTCTCTCATACCTAGAGCCCAAGCCCCCTATATTGATAGGAAAGGGACACCATGTTGTGTGGTTGGTGGTCCCAAAGGTCATTCAGGTTCCAGGTACATGCATCTATTTCTTCAGTTCGTGACCTGCTCCCCCAGTCTGACTGTGGTGGGTGGGACTGCCAAGTTCAATGAAGAAGCTGGTCGTATAGAGAAAAAACGTCTCTATCCCAGGACCCTCCTGTCGGGGTGTCCTGGCTGGACAACCCACAGTATACCCAAAAAGGCTTCCAGACAGGGCACCCCACGGTGTCGGGTCCTGGTAGTTCGGTCCCACGTTCCTGAAGCTTTTGGTGTCCGAGGATTCCACGTCCCTTTAAGGATGGGATCCCACCAAGCTGAACGGGGATCCCGTTGCCCCCCCCGGTAGTCGCCGCGGGTTCTGAGTGGTTCTTCTTGAAAGGAAAAAACACCAGCGGCTTGATGTTTGGCTGGTCTTAGGTGATTGAATAGTTCAATGGTTCTTGTAGATTGTCCTAGCCTACCAGGAGTCACAAAGGGGTGGTTTTTAGTACCTAAGTGAGTGGATAATGGGCACCCCTATCCTCCAATAGGCACCCCTTTGTGACTGCTGGTAGATTGTTGAAAGAAAGGTTCAGCCTTTGGACATTTTGGACTTCAGCCGCAACTTTTGACACGAGCCTGGCCTCAGCCGAGCAAAAGACCTTGAGTAATTATATCGAATCCATGCTTCAGTTTTCTCAGGAGAGAAACAATGATTCATTGCTCAATCTAAATGTGTTTTGTTTTTATTTGGACCCATGGGATGCGGATCAAAATGTAAAACAGTGACGCATAGCAACCCATAACTTTTATGCGTCCTACCAGTGGGAGCCGGCCGAAGCCATTCATTGGTCAACCCCCCTCGTCCTTTCTCCGTTTCCATCCGGATGCTCTTGGGGCCGGCCTCGGGGATGCCGCGCTTGTTGCCATCCTGGGTGCATGTTGAATATTTTTGCATGTTGGCCAATGGGGTTGGCGAGTTCTGTATGACAGCCACATCTACAAAGAAGCTAGGGACTCATGCCCCCCCTTAAACCACTTTAAACCTCCTAAACCCACCGGGAGCTTCGTCAGCGTTCGCGGATTCGAGCGTCTTCCCATTGGGTTTGGTGCTCACTTTGAGACCCTCGCGGTCGGTGCTTCGGGTGGGACCGGGCGGCGCCACCCGGACAGCATCGCCGGCGGAAAGGGGTGCAATACCTGGCGATCCGTCATACCTTTGGGATGAGGACAAAAATGACCCAAGCACTCAGTTCTGAGAAATACCAGAACAACTTGCCTGGTGCGTTTGTCAGTAGCTCGCGTTTGGGGGAGGACAAACATGGAAGGGGAAAATCCAGATGCTGGAGCTCAAATCAAAGGTCCGTCTTCTTGAAGATCAACTGATCCACCTCCGCCATGGCGCCCAAGCTGCCGTGACTGCCGTGGCGGGGCGTTCAGAGCCAAGCTGCACAGGGACGAAAGCTGAAGCTCAGCAGCCTTAAAGGGAACCCTAAGGGTCCAGGACAATCCGAATCGGATATCCTTTGACCCCCGAAGACCATTCTCAGGAAGTACGAACTCACCTCCAAGACCATCCGAAAAGGAGGTACCTGCCTATAGGGAAGTCTTTAAAACCAAACGGATGTACCAAGAGAGGTTGAGTGACCGGAAATAGGACCGGTCACCTGGGAATCCCAACTGGGATAGTCGAACATTCGGGTCCCTCAACCTCTGTTGCGTCTGTTGGTAGATCAAAATGCATTGCAAAACCATGGGTGATGATTTCTGCGCAGTCGATTTTGAGCCGGAATCATAATCCCACAAAGCACCGCAACAGCTAAAATAGATTACACTAAATATGTATTCTGTGTGTGTTCTTTTGCGCAGTCCATGTTGTACCACATGATGTATCTCCTTAACTCACTCGTTTCAACCTTCCTACCTTTTCCTTGATGGACTTTCAACGCCCAGGCTGCACTGATTGGAAGCCTACCGGATTCTATCTGTGTGTCTGCTGGCGAATTACTGAGTGACTGCTTCCTGCTACCCTTGTCACAAAGCAAAAGCACAATGGGATGGAGTCCATGCTGGAGTATGACACCAACCGCAAAGCCAACTGAAAAAAACCATGTATAAACCAATCAAACACATGTCGACATGCCTGTGACATCTCCAATAGTAAGTCAAGTATAACTCTAAACCCAGTCAGGTTTAGAGTGAGCCCTTCTGAGGAAGTCAAGTGTCAATGTTCAGATGATTTCAGGGAATGAATCCATCCCTTCCACATCCTTCCCATCATCTGGCGTTTCCGGCAAGACGGCTTGAAAGGCCAAGCCTGTCGTTCGATTCGGCCCCCGTGTCGTGTACAGGAGTGAAGGCCCAAAGGAGGTCTGTTCAACAAGTCTGGAATTCAACCCGTGCCGTGGCAACGGCCTGTGTTCAACAAGTCTGGATGTTGAGACATGTGTTCAACATATGTCATGAATTTCCATGACATGTCATGAAGAAAAACTTGTTGAACACATGTCTCAAACAATTCCATTGAAATGGAATTCCGAGCAGCGTTAGGGACATGACTGGCTGGTGGTTTCTGACCTAGCAGCTTGGAGGTAGTTCGCCCCTTGTTGGAATCAAGCCTAGGGCAACCATCAAAGAAGGCCGCAGAATAAAATAACAGCAGCCTAAACTGTTGGTTTCAGCTCACTTGAAAAACACTCGTTCAGTGTGGGAGAAAATCATCAAAAGGTTCAGACACCGTCTCCCCCAAATTGAGCCGCTGATTGACTCCAAGCGGAGTCAGACGAGTCACAGCAAGCCCGGGCCCCCGCACCAAGGCTTCCGGTCGCTTTGGCCTTCGAAGACCCCCACCCACCAGTCAGCCGGAGATCGTGTGAGGCAAAAAGCCAAGGTAGGTAGATTTGAAACATTTGTAAAACTATAGGGTATAAAGGCATGAAGCATGAGGCAAAACACCCAATCAAACTCTTGACTCTTGATTTTTCTTGTCTCTTGTTGCTAGGCTATATTGTCTATATATAGATTATGGTATCTACACGTCACGTCTCTCAACCACACATGCTTCTCCAGGCTCTGGACCTTGCATGTCCTGTTGAGATCCCAAACTATATATCCTGAACATATATATATATATACACAATGCATGCCTGTACCACACCTAGTGCACATAGACAAAGCCATAAAACCAGGAACATGTGCCGTTTGGAGGAGGTCTTACTTATAATAGGTCTTTCTCAGCAGCTTCCCTGGAGCATAAGGGTTCACCTTGTTCCACATGTTTCTTTTATGGTTATTTTTTTGTTTTTCACCCCCCAAGCTCCCCTTAACGTTCGTTGTCCATACCCTCCTTGGTCCCTCCTCACCCGCCCTCGCCCACCTCTGGCTTGGCACCCTGAGCCGATCGACGGATCCCGAAGGCTCGCGGGATGTGTTGGGTGGTGCTGTGGGCCTTTGTGCTTGGGCCAGTTGGGCCTAGAAAGCGAACGAAGAAAACCGTTCACGTGAGCTATGTAATGATTGGGTGGCTGGGTGACAAATCATCACCGAAGAACCAAAAGAAGCACCACCCAACCCATCTTTTGGATGCCTTTCAATGCTTCAGTGAATGCTTCACCCAGGGCCCACACCGGTGGCTTCAGCTCGAAGTGCTTCACCTGTCGGTGGAACGTCCCCAGCGTCGCTCACGGGCGCTCAAGGGGAGCGGGGCGAGTGATGAGACTCTCTGGGATTTGCTGAGGAAGCTCATGTCCACCAGCTCTATGGTCCACCACTCTCAGGAGTTGCTGAGGAAGAAGATTTCCGGAAACACTTGGATTCACTTGGATTTGTTGG